AAGTAGACAAACGCAAGCGCAAAGCATTGAGAAAAGCTGAGGTTTTTAACAATATTTCGTGAATTTTGCCTCAAAAAGAGATGTGAGGAGAATGGTGTTGTGTTCGTGAACAGCTCCAGCGGAGTCTTTATCTGCCTTCCAGCGACAAGCAATAAAACTGGACCTCTCTACGAACTAGGCTGCTATTTATAGCCTACTTATTTACATAAACAGATCATAATGGAAAACATCAGGGCCGGTAGTAATCTGGTCAAACTCCAAGTTCAAAGCTGCGCGTTAACTCAGAGTTAACTCTGAGTTTCGTTTTGAAACTCCGAGTTAACTGCGAGTTTCGTTTCTGAAACTCGGAGTTTCGTTCTGCTACTTGAGGATCCGCTCTAGTTGTTGAGGAGCCGCCACACGCCTCACCGCAAAACGCTGCGAGCTGCGACTAAGTCGAGACTCGAACTTCGGTTACTCGGCGCGAAGTGCCTACTACTAGACCGCCAAGCTAAAGAGCCACAATTTCAAAGTTGCTGCAACTGCTTAATGAATCCCCATAATCAAGACATCACATGTCAAGACATGTGGAGAGGCGCTAGGGTTGCCTGTGGGGTTCCCAGCAGTGGCGATCTCAGGATTGCGATCCCGGGGGGGGGGGGGGGGGGCGGCAGAAAATTATTTCAAATAAAGGTGCGTGGCGTTAGCCACGCACTCTGAAAATTTTTTTTTTGGGTGCATCTCAAAATTCTTGAGGGTCTGAAGCCCTCGAAATAATTTTTTTTGCAAGGATTGTTTGAATTTTAAAAAAATTCTAAAAATTATTTTATTTATTTACAAAAATAAACAAGTCATTTGCACATTTTTATAACCCATGTAGGTAAGTTTCACCCCCGCCTCCCTCCCTGCCCCAATCCGCCACTTTTGCCTAGCCATAATATAATATATCTTAAAGATTCTCAAAGAAGTTGCAGGATAAAACATGGACATAGAACAGTAACCCAACAATCCGTCCCCCTCCCCTCTCACCATATTTTGATATGCTATTATACTTGATAAAATTCGAAAGCCTGTTAGTATCCAAAATTTTTCGAGTGACCTAGATCTATGATTTGTAATCTTGAAATAGACCATTATTTTAGGAAAATAGGCTTCAAGTAGTAAACAAAGTCTACAGGTCATTCGTAAATCGACTGTTAGAATTTCAAAAGACCTCTGAATAATGTAGCAAATTTCGAAAAATTTTTCTCGAGGTTTTTTTTTGATACAATAAAAAGAAATAATTTGAAAAACACTCCCTGGTATCATTGCTTTTTTGCTAAGGAAGTTCAACTCAACCTGAGATTTTCGCCGTTCTTCCGTAAATGCCCACAGTAATAATCCGCATTGAAAACGGACAGCATGTTCATCATTGCACTGCCAAATGAACTTAATGGCGAATTTTTAAGCAGTTCAGTAATTTTAATCCACCACATCTACTGTAACCCCATCGCATAGTCTTGCAGTAGAAAAGAAATAGTAAGTATCCAACAGTGGCGGGACCGAATGGGAGGCTCCCCCTCTCCCCGGGACGGATCGCGAAAATTTTGAAATTTACTTACAAGGTTATAAAAATGTGCAAATGACTTGTTCGTTCTTGTAAATAATAAAATTATCGTTTAAAATGTCTTAGAAATTCAAATTAGCCTTGTAAAAAATTTTTTGGGGGCGTAGCTGGACACGCCCCCTTTTCCTAAAACTTAGGGATATGGGCCAGCGAAAAAATGTTAAAAAGCACCCGAAAAATTTTCGGAGCGCGTGACTAATGCCATGCACCTTCGCTTGAAAATTTTTTTGTCTCCCTCCTCCGAACGGAAATCCTGCGACCGTCACTGGTAACTAAGTATTTAGCTAAACTTCCCCCGAAAAAAGTTCTAAGTGAGATTTTTTATCCATCTACCGTAAATTCATCGAAACCCCTTTGGAAAGGTATTTTCAAGCGGCTATGATATTCCTGATTAACGTGCGGAATTAACGAAGCCAACTTTCATGAAATCCTGTGATTTTGGGTAGTCTACCGTATTTATTTTCCGCTATAAGCCATTCTAGTGAAGAACGCGCAATGTGATCGTAATCAACACACCGCGTAACGCCAGTGAGCCAACCTCAAAACTGTTATGGGACTTTGGTTTTTACCAAATTCCTACAGTAACTCTGCTCTATCTCTCCGCGGTGGAAAATGATTACCATATCCGAATAACGCAGCGAACAACCCCGCCAGATCAAGTTTCAGCCAATTTCGTAACTTTCGCCCAACTACTGTTTTCCTACCGTAACCTTGTTATGTGGGCGAATGTCGAAAAATGAGCATTGGATTCGTGATTAGCGTGTCAAGAAACCCCACAATATCAATTTTCACTCTTTTTAGTAATTTTCGCTCAACTACCGTATAGCTACCGTAATCCCGATTTGTGGTCCCGTAGCGAAAAAAGAACGTTATATTCGTGATCAGCGTGCAAAAAACCCGTTGTACCAAGTTTCAAGCAATTTTGTGACTTTCGCCCAACTACCGTATACCTACCGTAATCCCGCTTCGTGGCCCCGTAGCGAAAACGAATGTTATATTCGTGATCAGCATGCGAAGTAACCCCAGTGTTTCAAGTTTCAACAAATTTCGTGACTTTTGCTCAACTACCGTATCCCTACCGTAACTCCCTTATGTGGGCGAATGGCGAAAAATGAGCATCGGATTCGTGATCAGCGCGACGGATAACCCCCGGGACCAGAATTTTAAAAAATTTCAAATTTTTGTGTTCAACGGTGCACCATGATACCCCATCATGCTTCATGAAACTCAGAGCAAAATCTACCCCGGAGGACTTTTTTCCGGACCTCTGCGATTACGCACTATCTCTATAACCCTTTCCCCAACTTGGTTGCTGATGCAGGTGTTAATGGTCCCTGAAGGGTGCGTGTTAACTCAGAGTTAACTCTGAGTTAACTCTGAGTTTGAGCTGCGCGTTTCGACAGGTTTACTACCGGCCCAGATTATTCTATCAACTCATTTCTACTTAGCAGCCTTCACTAATATAGTCACAACAAATGGATGCACTTAAGGGCTTTGCTGAGTGTCACAAGTCATTTACTGACTGATTTTCAGCAGAATAATGTACTCCATATTGTTAGAAACGACCAAAAAGAAACCGCCGTATGGTTTGTATAGTAAGGAAGAGAAAACGATGAGACAGTTCCACGTTAGATGCTTTTTTTAGATTCCAACATACCATCAAGTTACTCCCTATATGCCTAAACTTATTTAGTGTTCAGACTCGTTCCCGCGTGATTTTTCGCTTTTCAAAGCTCTACTGTCCCAATGGAATGTGAAATTGAAAGAAGTTTTTTCTTTCAAGAAAGGTGACCTATCTGAGGACTTGATGGGAACGCTTAGACTAGATGAAAATAATATGGAGAGTTATGGTTCTAGCGAACTTACGAACTTACCCAAGGTTGGTTACCCCGAGTAACACTTAGCAGGTATTTTGCCAAGTGAATTCAGCGATATGAATGAGAAGATAGACTGGGGCAACGTATTCGGTTTGCTTTTTTTGCCATCCATGAGTTCTTCTTAACATCAGAAGTTCACCTTTCTTACTACTTGGCCGTTTTTCTCTCAAATATGTCACTTACTTTCTTTGCTTGTGCTTTCTGGCCTTCTCTGAGAGTGACCCGAACCCTCAACCTTACAGAAATATCCTCAGACTCAGAGAAGAGTACTTCCTGATGGATATCTTTATCTAACTTGCAATGGATATGCCGTTCCAACCCGTACAAAATGTAAAATATGTTTATTCAACATTCGAAAAAGCAGATTACATAGAAAAGAAACTTTTAAGCAATTTTACCAAAAGACAAACGTTGAACAAACGCATTAGTATAAAAGCCGTATCACCGTGGTCACAAGAACAGTGGCCATCAACGCGCCAATCGAAGTTTTCCAGTAGCGTTACAATACTCGGGGTCTGAAATGACAATCTCGTTTTATTCTGATACAGGTGGAATAACGTATGGTTAAAATTGCAAAAACATCAATACTCGAATAGCCTAAGCTTCCAATTTTTTCACTGTTTCAGCAGAAAAGCCCAGCGCAAGACAACATAGTAGGAGTTTTTCATAGGTTTTAAAAGACGTAGGGATGATATTATGGTCTAAGGAAAATTGGAGAACTCATTTTTGGAGAAACTGACCTTTGATTCGAATGGATTGGCTGCTGGAAGGCGGGGATTTGTGACCTTATCAAAGGCAGTAGGTCGGCAGAGTGAGACCCTTGGCAAAACAAGGTCTCAGGGTAGGAGCCCCCATAATGGAACCTATGGGCCAAAGTGCGATCTTTCTCTGCCACTTCTAACCCCCGAAATTTCAAAGCGAAAGCAGCGCTCATCTCCTGTCCTCTCCGAACCCGCCCACCCCATGGACGAGTGAACGCGAAGCCCGTCATGGCGAAGACGCAGAGTCGTAGCGGGACCTCATGCTTATAGCATTGCGGCTGGCGCTCTGACCGCGGAAGTCACTCGTCCATGGGGTGGGCGGGTTCGGAGAGGACAGGAGATGAGCGCTGCTTTCGCTTTGAAATTTCGGGGGTTAGAAGTGGCAGAGAAAGATCGAACTTTGGCCCATAGGTTCCATTATGGGGCTCCTACCCTGTGACCTTGTTTTGCCACGGCTCTTATTCTGCCGACCCACTGCCTTTAAGGCCGTTAGCTTTCGCAAAGCAGTGTGCGTCTCTATCGCCCGCGTAATCCCTGACCATTTTCTAGGCTTAACTAGGTCAAGAAGCCCCTCCTTCCACCCGCCAATCCAGTTAAGTCAAAGGATAATTGTTCTACGAAAACTAAATTTTTTTTCCAGTTTCTTTGCATAGTCATAAGTGCCGGGAGTGATCAGATATGTATACTCTATCTCATCTACGGAGTCTTTTTCGCGCGCTACATATATATATATATACGCAGCGCGAGAGGTTAGCTTGGTGTTCGCGGATGTTAGTGTCAATATTCATCGGTCTTATCGATCAAAGTCAGCAAGCAAGTCTGTCGTGCTGCAGATCCGTAGCCGGCGAAAAGGACACTGCGACTAAGATAGACTGTATCGTCGAGTAGGCGTGGCACTTCTGACCAAAGCTTATTTTTTCAAACAAAAAGCTTACTTGTGCAAATGCACTGTGTGCCAGAAAGAATTGCATCTGTTCCGCCAGTACCTGGACCGGAAACGAAGGTGGTGGTTGTGTTTAACGAAAAACAAACATTTTCTACGAATGGAACTATTGGTGCACATCCGCGTTCTATGTACTTTTTGCCTGAATCAAGCCATCAGTGGAAAAATTGTGCAAATGCAGACATTCAAACCTACCATTAAATTTTCCTTCAAAACTGGTACAGTATGCTCCAGTGCACGAATTCTTGTTTTTGTCCTCGCCAGTACCATCGTAATAGATGCTTTTGATGCACTTTGTTTCTTGTGTTGCTGGAATCGGAAGTGAGAAAGAGTGGGGGGGGGGGTAAAAGAGGTATAAAAATTTGTTCATTCATCACTTACCACTACATTGCAGCTGTTCCTTTATATAATTGTCAAAATTGATCTTTTCCAGTATCGAACGTGACAGCTTAATATTTTTGTACCCAGCTTCGTTGTCGAATTTATCGTAACTAATGACTGCTACCTGAAAAATCAGAATATTATTTTTTAGAAATTGACAGGTTTAATGATTTGTCATATTTCATACCCGTAAAATTTGGTTTTTTATCATATTTGGACTACTTTCTATTTGTGTAAATGAGCCGACGACGCAGATAACGCAAAAATTGCGGAAGATGCAGCGGCGCGGTCGGCGAGCCCTACGCCCACTGCAACTGGCATTGGAATCACGCTGCATTGAGCGAACCTCTCAACCAATGATGGATGGCTCCGCCCCTTTTTACTTTACCTCAGAGAGCACGAGTTCGGGGTGAGTCAACAAGTCTAATTGTGCGATTGCACACAACGAATATTGCGCGTCAAATTCTAGACTTCGCTTTGCTTCTCTCGAAGTCTAGCGATTTTTTTCTAAATTGTCGTAGATAATAAAATTAAGAACAATACAATAAAAGCACCATTCATGGGATAAGCGTATGAAATGCCAAAAGAGCAAGGATTTCACGCGCAGTGTGCATGTTATGTGCAACTACACAAAGTTATCTGTAGATAACTCGACTACACTTACTCCAGGCAAAGTCAATGTCGCATCTTCACTTGAAGTGATTTTTTGGCTGGTTACGTTCGTATAATAGCATATTGGTCCATCGCGTACTTGCTGTGCGGTATTACCCTTCTCAATAAAATCGTCGTGACAACCACGTACGAAGTGATAGTTGTTATCTGTAAAATCGTGTAAAATAGTTGTTATCTAAGAAAAATTGTGCAATTTTCCGACAGATAGTGGAGAATGGAAAACTCACAAGTTGGTATCACCATTTCAAAGCAAACCGTGTTGCAAGAAGTCAATACCATATTATCCGGAATACTTTGCAAGGACGAACCGCATCTGAAAATTGGAAAACAAAGCTAGCTGAGGTAAAATGCATCGTAATTTTGAAAATTCTGTATTTTTGCGTACGCTGTGTGAAAGACTAGATTTGTGGGTTGTCGAGGAAATCCGGTCAACTGCCACTGCGACTGAAGTGATGGTGAAGCGCATTGGACGCATCTTCCAGAAACGACAAGCGATGGTAGTCCGAGAACGAAAAGGAGCAGAAGCATCTGTAAAAAATTTTTTTCGGAAAATCAGCGAAAATTAGGAAGCTAAGAGGGCTTTAGGCGCACGCAGAGATTGTACGCCTTCGCGCGCGACTAAATAGTTCGTACATGTAGGAGACAGCAGACGGCAAGAGATGTGAAATAGCGCTTGTTCGAGGAGACGCAGAAAGCGTCCCCGCAGCAAAGCCCTATGCTTGCGTGCAGTGGCTCGCTTATACCAAAAAAAAACTCCACTATAGAACTGGCTTATTCATCGTCGACAGCTCTATCATCTCAAAAAATTTTGTCTTTTGAACATATTTAATAAAATAGTACTAAACAAATATGGTCATATTTAGAGTGCTCTTTCCAAAAACCTCTCCCACTTTGCCAACAGAAATTGTGGATTATTTAACGCAGAGTTTTTGTACCTCGTTTGCATAGTTCATGGTAGCTTATTATTAAAGATTATTAAATACACCACTGCTTTATCGATTAGAAAAGAACATGGAAAATTGAAAGTGTTTCCCAAGGATCAAAAAACAAACTTTTAGAATATTTCATGCTTTTCCTAGAAACCAAATAAGAGTGTGTTTTGACTGAGCTGCCAGCATCGTGAGAAGCTAAAAATGCGACACGAAAACCAATTAATGCTCCAGATAAACTAAACTAAAAGTACAAAATTCCAGGAATTTTCAGTGTTTTCTGAACTTTTTGTGTAATTCCAAACACTTCATAAGCTGTACGGTATTCCTACCGTATCAAACTGCAAAAAGCGCGAATTTCTGCTAACGATGGAATCTGAGTTATATACAGGGTGTCCCAAAAGTAAGTACACATTTTTCAATCGTTAATATCTCTCTTCCCATTGGGTGTTTTTCGGCCATTCGAGTTCCATTTTGTAGAGGAGACTTCATCTACACACAGTATTAAACGAATCAGCGATCGCTCTTCGTAACTGTGTAGGATTACTGTTGGAACTTCGACAAGGATTTTAGGCCATTGGAAGCCATATTCTGCCTTGGAACAAAACCAAACGAGCCGTATACCCCTTGCGCTATGGTTGTGGAAGCCGCTGATTTCGAATATGAAATTTCCACTTTACTGTGATGCTTCTTTTCAAAGTTATCCCAGGTAAACCGTAATAACCTAATTCCCAGTTTTTGTCAGAAATGTGATTGCACCGTCAAAAAAAAGCTGAAAACACTCGTAAGAAGTTGTGTAATGGAATCAGCGTGCGCAAAAACCCTAATACACAACTTTTCAAATTGTTTAAAAAAATTTTGTCAGATGGCATATTACTCAATGATTCCACATGCTTGAAGTTCTTACCGTAATCCCAGTAACGAAGGGCGATGGGAGACGGCCCTTCTGAACCCTCCGTCCCCTACAGTAATCTAGAACTAGGAAGCGCGCGCATGCGCTGCGATGACTGCGGACGAGTGCTCCGCGAAGGGCTCGTATTTTCGAAAATCACCAACTCCTTTCGTGCGGCTGTTGCATTATGGAATGCAAGCCAACCACGCTGATTTCAACCAAACACAGCTACCATCCTCTGAATATTTGGTATTCTGAGCCCTACTTCCCAGCAGGTATGTTTATGATTTCCCTACTTCCAAGCAGGTATTTATGATTTATGGGACACTTCCGAAGTCTTTTCCATGATTCATAAAAACTTCTCATGAATATACTTTGAATTCTTTCGAACTTTGTTTTTTTTGCTTTTTTTCCACTTATATCCCTTGTGTGTGCGATCCTTATAACCTCGTGCATCGTCACATCTATTGCTAATGTGAGCTGCTTGATGTTATTGAGGAAAGCCCACGTAATCAAAGTTTGTGTAACAACTCTTTATAAAGGCCAGTTATAACTTAAATTTGTGATCTACGCTAATTCGTTATTAAATGCGTATTTCCTTCTGACATTTCAGTGCATCTCTGTAGCTTTCCGTGAAAATTATCATCTCCTTGAAATTATCATTCCTAGTAAAATTTACGAACGTGCATTTGAAATTTTTACGCTTTAAAAAGCATGATGCGTGCAGCAAAGAAAAGGTCGCTACCAAAATCAATCCATGTAGATCACACTACCAAATGAAGGTGATGCATTTTTATTTGATTGCGTTTTTCATATGAACGGTGTAAGAAAAACTTCATAAAAATAAAAACTCATCATAAAAAAATGTATGCTTCCCTACTGGCATGCATGTAGTGCACATTTCAATCGAATGTGACTAGATGAGGAGGAGGCAAACGTAGGGGAGTAGAGTATGCAATCGAACTCACAAAGACCTAGGAGGGTAGAGCAAGCAATCGAACTAAAAAAACCAGTAAAATAAGTCGAAAAAGACTTGAAAATGTCTCATAGGTCAAAAACATAAAACCTTAGAAAGCAGCCGGCGATTTAAGTAGTGTAGAGTAGAGCGAATAACTTAAGTTATTTTAGGAATTTTCCAGAGAATTACTTCCAGAATCTCATTGTGGAGTAGGTTACCAGCGATGTGAAACTCGTCCGCCTCCGCAGCGCGTCTGCCCAGGTCAGCTGCTCGCACCCGCGAGCTAGCCAATCATGGAGTGACCTCTGATTAGCGCTGACCTCTTATAGCCGTCGCGATTAGGGCAAGTTCAGAAGGGCCTACACCCAAGGGCGATCGGTGATTCAATCAATACTGTAAATTTAAGTTGAAGCCATCTACAGAATGGTACTTGATTGGCAAAAAAAAACCATTTAAGAGAGATATTGGCGATTGAAAAGTGTGTACTTACTTTTGGGATACCCTCTATAAGTAAATTTAGGTTGGAAGTAAAAGTAAAGGCATTGCAAACGTCTACATCAACTCTAGTGCGACATCAAAGTTACCGTAGCATTATTACGGTATACGGTAAGAGTTGAGGGAAAGTTATAAGCTGCGTAAACATCCAAAATTTTGCAAATTTTACGAGATTTTAACTCATGAAAAGTTACTAAGTAACTATACGAAACCTTATATCAAACAAAATTGAAGGTATAGTTTTCTGGGCACCATTTATATAGAGTGATGCTGGTCTGATACTTAGCCTCCAGTTTTTACGACCCCTTATCCTCGTCTGATGCATGATGCGTAGTGCTGCAACTGATACGCCTATCAGCTGATAGGGCCCGGCACGGATGGTCTGAGGTCAAAGGCTTCGTTTTTGAGTCGGAAGCAACGGAGATATCGTTTTTACAGTCGCGGACGGAGCGCCGAAAAAAACGACAAACATGTCAGGTTTTGCAAGTACGTGCTTTTTCGTAAGCGCGCGAATTTCAAACGCAAGATTAAAACATATAAATGGTTTGTTTGCAGCCCACAAACAATCATATGACATCGAATTCGGACTATGTGTATACAATATTACTCCACACTAAATTATGTAAAAAGTTTTAGAAACTTATGTGTCCTAATACCCGTTACCGAATTTGTTGGTTTCTAGTCCAACACCAAACCAACTGGATTGGTTCGGAACATAAATATCAGAGAGTTCACATAAGTTTTGGACTTCTTTGATTTGGACGATCAGAACGTCCAAAAATCTACCATAAAGCGAAGAGAGCGAATCAAATCACTGCCTCTCCGCTTTTCCTGAGCCAAATTTAGTGTAAGGTCTACGCATTGATAGATATCGCGCCCCAATCCATGCGGTGTCCTTTAAACTATGTGTCGAAAAATGCATCGCCAGATTGTTGGCATCAAGAAAAGGCTGGTCTAAGAGCTTTTCGACATTTTGAACACTAAAATGGTACCATATCAATGAGAGCCTCTAATCAACTCAGGGATGTTTTTTTTTGCTTTTTTGTTATCTAAACCTAAGATACCTCAAAATGTGTTTTTTCGCTTTTTTGTTGTTAAGTTGATTGACTAATGGTTTCCCTATTGACTTTTACGTCAAACGGGACTTCGTAAGTTTTTGCGAATTATGGGGGACTTCGTTTTCAAAAATGCTTCAAACCAACGCGTGCCGGGCCCTGGCTGCGAACATTGTTTCACTTGTTGGTTGTATTCTGAAGGGATCACATGCTATGTCGATAATTAAGAGCTATTTCAAAAAGCGCTAGGATGATGTTGATAGTTTAAGAGGTTAAAAGGTCCGGAAGTGGAAGTGTATATCATCAGTTGCGGCCCATAGTATTGTCAAAGTGATAGAGGTATTCAGATGATTTCATGATGTGTTTCTTATCATACATGGTTGTCACATTTTACATATGTAGTGTTCGAGAGCTTTCATCTGAATTTTGATAATGAAATTCATGTGTTGTCAATAAAGCAGTCACCTTTGCTAGTTATCCTATTTAGGAATGCTGCTGGGGATAATCAATTTCTTAAGACTGGTATTTTCTGTATAAAAGATGATATCGAAAGTGGCGGAAGAGAATGGGGGGGGGGGGAGTATGTATAGGTATTGCAGTGAATTACTCTGCTTAGATGAAGAGGCACCATGCTCTTTGACATGCTTGAACACGTAGGATGTAAGCAACGAGTAGTCAAGGTGGCAGAATGCAAATGTGCATAGGTGTTATAGCCAAGTGGTTAGTAGTGCTCAATTCATACCAAGCGACGGGAGTTCGACTCCCGACCTAGTCGGAGCGTTTTGCGATGAAGCATGTGGTATCGTTTATTCGTTGACCGTAACGACTGCTGACCGCGCGGCGACCGCTGCGCGTGCATGATGTTTTCGTAGAAAAGATGAATAGAAAGAAAACAGAGGATTCTTCTCATCTTTATAATGTAGAAAAAAACAAAGAATTCTTCTCATCTTAAGCCACGGTCCAACTTGTCACTTTTTCGCAAGTTTAGAAGGCACGCGTCGCAGTCGCCACGCGGTCGGCAGTCCGTACGGTCAACGAATGAACGATAGCTCCTCAAACGACCATAGCACTCTGAGTTACCGCGCAGCTTTAAACTCGGAGTTTCGACGAGATTACTACCGGCCCTGATGTGGCTTGAGTAAGCATTCGACAGGGCAAAGCAAGCTCTACAAGATGGCTATCAAAAATCTGCCCAAATCTTATCCCACATATGAATTTTTAAGTTGAAAACTGATAGTAGTCGATAACGAAATTTCTTGTCAGAAATCGTATCCCAAAGTATCTAGAAAATGCCTCATTTATTCTAGCATACGCTTGACACATCGCACTTTCGATTGTATACTTTCCTTTCTTGGCTAGAAATAAAAAAAGTGGATGAGGTAAAATGGCGAACTCCGCTCCTAGACGTTCTGAGCTCCTCCCATACATACAGAAGTACGATGATGTATTTGTATCCATTGCAGGTGCGCCAGTTCTCGAGAAATGCTATTGTTTAGCGTAAAACCGGTAAATAATTATGAGAAACCCCAATAGTCCACTCTTCCCACAACTTGGAGTAAGGACACCTCTGCTGTCAAAGCAAAAGACGCCTCTGCTTTGGTGATCGAAAAAGGAACAGCATTTGACGTCTGATAAAGGGGGGTAAAGAAAGCGCAAGGTGACTTGCTTTATCATCTTCTACTTAGTACAAGAGACAACCTTTCATTCACCGAGACTCATGCGCATTTCGAGCAACCCTACCCCAAACTATCTACTCAAATTAATTCTAATCCAACTGATATTTGCTCGAGTTAGTTTTCTCATACAAGAATTTCCAGCCGCTTCTTATGCGACTACATACATAGGTTATCACAAAATTTGATCTTTCAATTTTCCATGACAGATAAAACGGTCTCAAAGAGAAAAACGCCTTCCTCCTTAAATTTGGCAAACGCTTTGAAGTGTAAAGTTCAGGACTGAAAAAGTGGTCTTAACGCTTCTTTCAAGTGAAGTAGAGAGTCTTGAGCGGAAATAGAAAGGTTTACCTGAGGTTCAAAACTTCTTTTTCTGTGCGTCAACCATTTCACTTTCCCTCGATTTTTGATTTCGTTCCATAGCTTTTCGATTTGCGCAGATTTTTATGAATCGAGTCCCACTTACTGTTCAATAAAGATGCTTTTGAGTTTTAGCCAACTGATTCGAAGCGATAGCTGTCATAAAAGTGAAATATTAGCGAGATTTCTGCAGCATTATAATTTGATAAGCCGAAATTTTGCCAATGACACTGCTTTCTCAAAAATCATTATATTTTGCTTTCGGTGTAAATTCATTTTTACCGCCTTGTTAGCATCCCTTCTACCAAACATGATTCACGGCTACTCACGGAAGCCGTTTTCAAATTGGTAACAAAGTAGACAAACGCAAGCGCACAGCATTGAGAAGCTGAGATTTTTGACAATATTCTAAGAATTCTGCCTCAAAAAGGAATGGCAAAGGGAATGGATACGCAAAAGTGCTTTGCTGAGTACACAGTCATTTACTCACTATTTTCGGCAGAAGAATGTACTCTATATTGTTAAAAACGACTAAAAAGAAATCGCCATATGGTTTGTACAGTAGGGAAGAGAAGATGGTGAGACAGTTCCACGTTAGATACTTTTTTAGATTCCAACATACCATCAAGTTACTCCCCATATGCCTAAACTTATCTAGTCTTCAAACTCGTTCCCGCGTTATTTTTCGCTTTTCAATGCTCTACTGTTCCAATGAAATATGAAGTTGAAAGATGTTTTTTCTTTTAAGAAAGGTGACCTAACTAGACTAGATGAAAATGATATTTCATGTTGGTCATGATTCTAGTGAACTTACCCAAGGTTGGTTACCCCGAGTAACACTTAGCAGGTATTTTGCTAAGTGAATTCAGCGATATGAATGAGAAGATAGACAGGGGCAACGTATTCGGTCTGCCATTTTTTTTGTCACTTATGAGTTGTTTTTTATATCAGAAGTTTGCCACTTTTACTGTTTGCCTCGTTTCCTTTTGAAGATGTCATTTATTTTCTTTGCTTGTGCTTTCTGAGCCTTTTCTGAGAGTGACCGAACCTTCAACCTTTCAAAAATATTCTTAGATTCAGAGAAAAGACTTCTTGATAAATATCCTTTATCTAACTTGCAGTCGGAATATGGCCTTCCAACCCGTATAAAGTGTAAAATATGTTTATTCAACATTCGAGAAAGCGGATTACATAGAAAAGCAAACTTTTAAGCAATTTTGCCAAAAGACAAATGTTGAACAAACACATTAGTATAAAAACCGTATCACAGTGGTCACAAGAACAGTGGCCATCAACACACCAATCGATGTTCTTCCAGTAGTGTTGCAGTACCCGGGGTCTGAAATGACATTATTTTAACGTAGGCACAATACCGTATAGCTACAGTTTTCAGAAAACATCAATACTCGATAGAAATGAGCTTTCACCTTTTTTCGGTGTTTCAACAGGACAATCCAGCGCAAGGCAACATAGTAGGAATTTTTCATAGGTTTCAAAAGACGTTGGGAATGATATTGTGGTCAAAAGAAAATTGGAGAGAACTCATTTTGGGAGAAACTAACCTTTGATTCAACTGAAGTGGAGGCTGCAAGGCGGGGCTTTGTGACCTAATTAGGGCCGCTCGCGCCCGCGACGCAGTCTGCGCCTCTCTCGCGCGCGCGGTCCCTAATCATTCTCTAGCCTTAGCTAGGTCAAGAAGCCCCGCCCCTTCCAATCGCCAATCCAGTTGAATCAAATGGTATTTGTTCTATTAAAATAAATTTTTTCAGCTTCTGTCCTCATAACGCCGGGGATCACAAGTGTACATACTCTATCTCAACTACGAAGTCTTTTTCGCGCGCTACACATCCGCAGCGCGAGGGATTAGTTTGGTGTTCGCGAATGGGTAAAGGACTATATGTCGCCGAAGCGGGTCCCGCGCGGACAATGCAGCAGATACGCAGATACTGCTGTACATGTAATGGAATGTATATTAATTGCAAACGTCCGGTGGGACCTCCCACTTTTGGTGACATGTAGACCCCTAAACTTCGCGGATGTTTAGCTTCATTATTGATCGGTTGTATCGAATAAAGTCACCAAGCAAGTCTTTCGCGCTGCAGATTTGTAGACGCATGCGCAAAGGACACTGTGACTGAGACAGACTATGCATCTTCGAATAGCCGTGGCACTTCTGATCAAGCGCATTTTTTGAGAAAAAAAAAGCTTACTTGTGCAAATGCACTGTGTGCCAGCAAGAATTGCATCAAGTGAACGCTTTTGGCGAGACACTGTTCCACCAGTGCCTGGACCGGAAACGAAGGTGGTGCTTGTGTTCAAATAGAAACACACATTTTCTACGAATGGAGCTATAGGTGCACATCCGCGTTCTATGTATTTTCTACCTGAATCAAACCATCGATGGAAAATTGTGCAAATGCAGACTTTCAGACCTACCATTCAATTTGCCTTCAAAACTGGTACAGTATGCTCCACTGCACGAATTCTTATTGTTGTCCTCGCCAGTACCATCGTAATAGATGCTTTTGACGCAGTTTGTTTCTTGTGTTACTGAAATCGGAAGTGGGGGGGGGGGGGTAAAAGAGGCACAAAATTCGATTTTTCAATAACTTACTACTGCATTGCAGCTGTTCCTTTACATAATTGTCAAAATTGGCCTTTTCCAGTACCGCACGTGACAGCTTGATATTTTTGTACCCAGGTTCACTGTCAAGTTTGTCGTATCGTATGACTGCTACCTAAACGGTCAGAATATTTATTGTTTTACAAAAAAAAAAATCAAAACAGATCGAAAGCTGTAAAAAATTTCTGTGCTTAGCTATGCAATTTATGCATGAAATTTAGTTGTTATTGGGTTACTTGAGTTATATTCTATTCGTTATTGAGTAGAGTTATATTCTATTTGTGTTAGAAATTTGACAACGCAGAAAACGCAAAGATTGCGGCTGATGCGGCGGCGCGTGTCCGCTCGGCGTGCCCTACTCTCACTGCGAAAGGCATCAAACCGCGCTGCGTCGTTTAGAAACCTCTCAACCAATGGAAAAACTTGGCTCCGCCCCTTTTTCACTTCATCTCAGAAAGCACGCTTTCGAAGTGAGTTCGCTGGCTTAATTGTGCGATTGCCCACAGAACGCAAATTCGTCAAATCCTAGACTTCGCTTTTCCTTTCTTTAGGAACCCAGCGATTTTTTCTAAATCATCGTAGATAGCAAAATTAAGAACAATACAATAAAAAAAGGATCATTCATGGGATAAGCGTATGAAATGAACACGGATTTTACGCGCAATGTGCATGTTACGTGCAGCTGCACAAAGTACTCTATAGACAACTCGAGTGTACTTACTCCTGGCAAAGTCAATGTCGCATCATCACTTGAGGTGATTTTTTCGCTGGTTACGTTCGTATAATAGCATTTTGGCCCATCGCGTACTTGCTGTGCGGTATTACCCTTTTCAATAAAATCGTCGTGACAACCACGTATGAAGTGATAGTTGTTATCTGAAACAAAATTACGCAAATTCCCGAAAATTAAAGAGTAATAAACTCACAAGCAGGTATCACCATTTCAAAGCAAACCGTGTTACAGGAAGTCAATACCATATTATCCGGAACACTTTGTAAGGCCGAACCGCATCTGAAAATTGGAAAACAAAGCTAGCTGAGACAAAATGCATCGTAATTTTGTAAACTCTGTATTTTGCGTACGCTGTGTGAAAGGCTAGATTTGTGGGTTGTCGAGGAAATCCGGTCAACTGCCACTGCGACCGAAGTGATGGTGAAGCACATTGGACGCATTTTGAGACGACAAGCGATGGTAGCCCGACAACGAGAAGGAGTAGCAGCATCTGTAGAAAAAAATTTCTGGAAATCAGCGAAAGTAAAAAAGTTGAGAAGACTTTAGGCGCACGCAGAGATTGTAGGCCTTCGCGCGCGACTAAATAGTTCCTGCATGTGTGAAACAGTAGACGACAAGGGAGGTGAAATAGCGCTTGTTCGAGGAGACGCAGAGAGCGTCCCGCAGCAAAGCCCTATGCCTGCGTGCGACGACTCGCTTACATCAAAAAGAAAAAAACTTCACATTATGGAAACTGGTTATTCATTCGTAATAAATCAAACTTATTATTTCAGAAAATTTTATGTTTTCAACATATTACCTGATAAAAACAATGTATAATAATACAAAATTGGTCATATTTGGGTAGCTCTTTTCAATAGCCTCTCCTACTTTGCCAAGAATGTCTGTGGGTTATTTAGCGCAGAATTTTTGTACCTCGTTTGCATAGTTCATGGCAGCATACAAGGATTATTAAATACACCACTGCTCTCATCGATCGACTAGAAAAGAGCCTGGAAAATTGGCAATTTTTTTCTAGCGATGTTCCAAAAAACAAGCTTTTAGAGTATTTCGTGATCCTAAAAAACCAAATGAGAGGGTATTTTCGCTTAGCTGCTAGCATCGTGAGGAGCTAAAAATGGGATGCACTAATGCATGCTTCAGATCTGCATTTAAGGGATAAAATAAACAAAAAAGTACAAAAATCCAATTTCAATTCAGTCGGAACTTTTTGTGCGATTTCACGCACCTTACAAGTTGTACAGTATTTCTACCGTATATCTCAGACTGTAAAAAGTGCGAATTTCTGCTAACAATATGAATCTGAGTTATATATAGGTAAATTAAGGTCAGAAGTGAAAGTAAGCATTACAAACGTCTACATTCTTTAGGAGATCAAAGTTATCGAAGCATTATTATGGTATACGATAAAAGTTGAGGAAAGTAATAAAGTACGAAGGCATCCAAAAATTTGCGAAATTCACAAGATCAATTCAAGAAATAGTACTAAGTAACTATATGAAGGCTTATATCAAACAAAACTGAAGGCATAGTTTTCTGGGCACTATTTATATGGATGGAGTGGTGCTAGTCTGATACTTAGCCTCCAGTTTTTACGACCCCACATCCTCGTCTGACGCGTCATGCGTGGTGCCGACCGAATAAGCGTCACAAAATTTTACGGTATTTACTCTAGATGAGCTCATCAACAATTTCAACCATAGCGCTCATGCATAGAATGCACTCTAATGGATCAGGCAAAACTGACTATGTGTTTTCTTATGCCTTTTGCTTTACAATCAGTGGTGACGGTAACAATGACTAGGAGATCTCAAAGGCGAACTCCGTTTATTATGCAATTGCGGGGGTGGGAGGGGGGAGACGGAGATGAGTAGGAGGAACACTGGTGCACATATGTACTAGCTCCATGCCTTTCTCTAATTAAATTATGCCATTTTGTGAAGCTGGCTTTAACTTGGATCTACAGTATTTTGTGAATCACCTACCGCGCTTCATTGCTGTAGGTTTACGGTAGGAATTTTGAAAAGGCTTAGAGCCATTGGAGGCCACTTTCTGCCTCTGAAAGAGAAACTAGCCAAGAATTTAACACTAGGCTAATAAGAGCCGCGGAATTCAAGTGCAAAACTCGCACTTCAACAAAATTTTGATTCGAGTTACCTGAAATAATGTAAAAACCGGTTTTTCGATGCCCCTTTAAAGTGTAGATACACTATTCAAGAATTTTAATAAAGTTTTTAACAATTGTTTAGTGAAATCGGCATGCCTGTGAAAGCCTTGCTACATAACTTTTTGTTTTTACTGTAGTCCTCTTATCTTAAACCTGGGCATCTTTTTGATCATGTACCATTTCAGATTTTTATTGTGCCGTACAAGTTGGTATCGTCTCCAGAGATGAAAAGGCGTTGATCACTTTGATATATCTCTTGGCCGTCAACATTCGATTCCAATTATGATTCGATGTGGGGAGTACTGGAGCACAACTTCACCCACCAAGTATGTCACAGCTATTACTGCTTGCAGCCGCTTAAAGGCAGCGTCCAGGCAGATCTGGACCTGTGGGAATTTTACGTGGAAAGTACTTTTGGGGCACTAACTAAGGCACTGCTCAGGCGGCAGCGCAGGTAGTGCTCTAACGGCTGAGATATTCCCCTCGAAACTGGACCCCGCGATCGTATTCGCATGGATTCATGGCAGTTTCGCGCCAGGATCCACGCTTTGCGCCATGAATCCATGCGAGATACGATCTCGGGGTCCAGTTTCGAGGGGAATATCTCAGCCGTTAGAGCACTACCTGAGCTGCCGGTTGGGTAGTAACTTAGTTAGGGTCCAAAATTACTATCCACGTGCCCATGTGTTCAGACTTGCCTGGACGCTGCCTTTAAGATGTCGATTGAGTGCGATGTCAAGTGAGCAAAAGACACTATGAGATTATTATGAGATCAAAGGCAGTTGACTCACCAAAATTCCATTGTCGAAATTTTTTCATATAGCCTATTCGTTCCCGTCTAACTCATTGCTGGTCCAAATTGGATAGAATGCAAGAAAACAACGTTTTTTGAAGTTCGCAGAGGCGACCAGACGAACTATATCTTCTCAGCCCAGCATGTGCCAGACTGGACGCCAAGCGGATGGGCATGTTGAAACGCGTAAGGGAGAAACCGGGAGCGCCGACCGTGTGGGCCAAACCACATTGAGGGCAAATTTCTCGGCGTAGAACGGACAGATCGAGTGGGACTTGGGGGGGGGGATCGCCTGTTCAGGGGTCCTCTAACAATATATATGGAGATCCGCACTACCCCAATGGTGAGACACTGCCCTCAACTATGAGCACACAATGTTGTAGATAACATTGCGATAGTAACGGCATCAAGTCATCGTTTCAAATAATTCTCATCCTTGGCATTCAGCTTGGGATTGTTGGCAAGGATGTAATAGGCTTTTAGTTCCTACGGACAGAAATCTGGTGTACGCAAGCCAAAATCCTGCGCCTAATCTGGTAGAGTACCGCCGTGCTCTATCATTCTCTGTTTTCCAAGTGGGCTCACTAGGCTTTTCCGCTTCCTAATAGCTAATTCTTCACACACTAGGGCGCACACTTAAAGGCCGCCCGGTCTCGCCTGTATGGATGGCGAAATACTGAATGCATTCGAATGCATGCATGCACTGTATGCATTTGTTACATTACGCCAGACTTTGCGCAACTTCCAGGTTTTCCGTATAGAGCAAGCTACGCTTGTGAGATGTAGTCTGCTACGTAAAATTGTTTTTTGATGTTGTATTGCTGGTTATTCACTTTGACGACATCTTCCTTGAGTTGTGTCTTTGTCAGACATGGCTCGATTGCTAAATGGCCCTTTTGGAGATGTAAGGCGAGCATAAAGGTAGGCAACCTGCTCGCTTGTTTTTACTGCACTTTTTTTGATCGTCTGGGTATAATAGTGTACCCATTTGACGCCATGATTGCCAGCTTCAGTGCTTGCCTTTCGTTTTGCGCTACGGATATCCGTCACTTTTCGTACATGTTGCCAACAATGACACGTTTGGCTTTTCTGAGTGTGCGATTTTGCGTAGATATATTTTTATCACTTCCCTTAAGCCCTGGCCATACGTGTAGCGATTTCATCGTCGCGATTTCGTCGCCGGAAACTTTCATGATCAGAGCGACGAAATCGCGACTTTCAAATCGCTGGTCGCGGGTTCTGGCCATATCTACCTGTTCAGCGATCAGGTGGAAATACACCCTCAGCACTCGTTCTGCGTTCTCTTTTAGCATCCAAAAACAGCATTCAATGCTATTTCTATACATTTGCTGATTCCTTTGTCTTTTTCGTATAATCGACATCAACAATTCGTCTCTCGCGCATTTGCATCTATCGTTCAACCTTTTCCATCACCATCATACAAAGGCAAATTTTTCAAGTTGAAGCTACGGTTTCATACCTTGCTAATTTTTTGCGATATTCAGATATCTAAATACTACGCGTGTTATTCAATTAAGAGCTTCGAAAAACTGGAAATATTCATCTCGACTGATGGCACGTATTAGATGGGAGCGCATCACAACACGAAAAAAGTGCAGCTAAATCTGCATCACATTTTAGCATCTTAGCAAGAAAAGCAAGTCGAAAGAGAAAAGAACGGTTCAAAAACTTCCAGAAAAGAAATCCAATTCCAGCGATATCGCCGCGTCGCTACTTTCAAACTGGCGACGCGATATCGCAAGGTTTCGGCCAAATCGCGGTGATATCGTTGGAATAGGTATGGCTTAGGAAAACACGGTCAGCGATCCGTCGCGCCGGACGGCCAGCACGACCGACACTCATGATTTGCCGGTACGCATGGGGCGTGTGACAGTTGTCCGATTGCACAAATCGCGTCGCGTTAATTTTTTTGTCGGTATGGCCAGGGCTTTACGGAAACACTTGACTTGGACCGATCCATTGATCAATTTCATCTGTGTATTCAAAAACGGTAGCTGGCCGTCGCTTCGCTTGGTTTTTCTCCCGTAAAGCTTGATTAGAACAGATGATTTAGTGATTTGAAACATGTTCATTTCGAATTGTGTAGTTGTGACGATACAACAGTTGTCGTTATAACGACAACACATAAGCGTTCCTTTCAAGGACACCGGCTTTTCTATTCTGCTTATAAGGCAAATAGCTAGAACCGGTGCTAATCGTTGGCCTGTTAGCCCATTGCTTTTCTTATCTGTGTACTAGGCTGGCAAACCCGGCTCCGCCAGGCACTGTCAATAATATATTCGCAATCAGCATGCTCACTTACCCCCCCCCCCTGTGCCAACTCCCAACCCCGTAGCTCGAACTTTCTAAAAAATCAATAAAGTCGATATTGATCGATGACGAAAAGTAGGATATGACACCCGCCCGGCCCCGAAGTGTATATGTGCAAAGTTTGGTTTGGATCGGTTCAGGAATGGAATTTTCTATTCGGAACATACGTACACACATACAGACAGACAGCCAGACATTC